CGCATCATTTATGCCAAACCCTTGCAAATCCAAGACGCATTTACAATTTGCTGCTGATAAAAAAGCAGGATTGATGACATTTGATGACGAGTATGAACTCCACAAAATCAAAGAAGTATACCCAGATGCGGAGTAAGTGTATTCGTTTTTTAATATATTATAGCTTCGACAACAGTTTATATAATGCTGTTTTTGTATGTTTTTGTTTTGTTTTTGTTTTGTAGATTGGTTATACGAATTAAAGCTGACGATCCCAGCGCATTGGTTAATTTCGGAATAAAATTCGGATGTGATGTTAAACATGCAAGACATCTTTTGCAAGTAGCGAAACAGCTCAGTCTCAACGTTGTTGGCGTGAGGTAATTTATATACAATAACGTTGCTCCAAGCCTCGCCGAGGCAAAGGAAACATTTTACATTATAATTCTACTCCCAGAAATGTGCCTCAGTAAAAAATTATATGTATGTATATGTTACAAATATAAAAAAAACAAAAAAACTGTAGCTCAATAAGTCAATGAAGTCTATTCATGTTGTTGCTCTGAAATATTGCTCAATTGTACCTCTGGCATCATCATCATTAAGTATGTAGTTGGTTGTTTGTTGTTTCAGTATATACGTCATTGTCTGTAATTTTTTGGAATTGTTAAATAAAATAATCCTAGTGATGGTAACACAATGACATTCATTAATGTGTGGTATATATTTATGAATCCAACTTTTGATAATAATAAACACCGCAATATCTTAACCGGAGCCGGGATCTATTTTATATGTATTAGTAAAGATCGGGTAATGGGTATCACGTTTACAATGTCTCCTATTCGTCGAGAAAAAAAACTAAATATAAGCACACGGCTTTTCATGGTCAATTGCCATATTGTTGTACTCTTTTTTGGATAACGGATGACCACTAGTATATTCAACCCAGTAAATCTTCAATTTCAGTTTTCATGTTGGTTGTTTATGCCGAGATGCTACAGCCTACGCAACAGCTATTGGTTTATCACGACTGGTATTCAACTATGCTGCCGATATTGGATTCAACTTTACCCTGCTCGATATTGGGGGAGGGTATCCAGGTGATGGAAAAAAGCCTATTACGATTCAATGTGTAAATAACTTTACGATTATGTTTGTTTTTGTATAGGTTAAACACGATATTCAAACGGCCATTTTGAAGTAGTTGCTGTAAACAGTACTCGGTAAATTGAAACTTTCTGGATTGAAGGGCCGTTGGAAGAAGTATAGTCATGATAGAAATTATTTTGGACACAATGCCATAGACGTTTTAGGATGTTATGTGACATAACAACACCGATAATGGGTGACAAATGTAGATTTCAACGGTCAATGATTGTCGATGTAGAGATATAACATATTTAGTTTGTGCCATTTATGATAAATAATAATATGAGAATTTCCCCTTATTAATTTGGTTTCAGTATGAATTTATATACATCGAGGTATTGCTATATTTTTATATTTAGGCATGATGAAAAACTACGTACTGTTTTCTGCACAATACTGTATCAGAAGGTGTTTTATTAACAGTCAATGGCGTTACATTTTTTGTTTACAGTATAGAGTAATCATAAGATATAAGAATATCTTTGTAGGAAATGCATATGAAGTCACATTTGGTGGTGATATTCACTGCAACTTTTGTTGCTGAAAATACCATTAAGACTAGTGAGGGGGTAGCGTAACTGGCTCAATATTTTTATAACTGTATCATTAACTCTAACTTGTTCATACCATTAATCAGTAGTAAGTGTACATCATCCCAGGAGACATTTTAAATAGTAACATGCATTAATCTTGGTCAACAATAATGTTGTCAACATAAATACCTTTCATCCACACTTTTCACATGAAAAACTTGTTATTGTACTTCAATGAATTGTTGATTTTTTCACACACTGCATTATGCAATGTGAAGGATTTATTTTAGGGTTAAATGCCAAGTTTATTCCCACGCGTTAAATGGCAGCTTTACTAGTAATGGTATTGATTGCGTGATACAATTTTAATTGCTTACAGATAGCAGAGCAAATCAATCAAGCACTAAGTGAACACTTTCCAGATGGATGTGGAGTTACAGTTATCAGTGAACCAGGTCGTTATTTTGCATGGAGTACCTGTACTTTATGTGTGAATGTAATTGGCAAGCGTGTTAAA